GCAGGCTACAATAGGCCAATCAGTGGCCGCCGTGCCGAGTGGACCCAGTTGGACTCCACCGCCCCACTAAGCGAATTAGACAAGGGGGGGGGGGCAGGTACAAATAGGCCACATAGTGACTGACATACCAAGTGGACTGTCTCACCCTACCCCAAGAAATTAAAAAAAACAACTATTATTGGAACACGTATAATCTGTTGTTGCAAAACTATGAACAATACAAAGACTAAGGCATAATCTGCCCTTGCGACTTTTATAAGCACACCTCAGCGACCTTGGTGCTCATTTTTGGCTGACGCACACAAATTCCTTTGTCGCTGCTGAAGAGGAAGCGAATAGGAATATCCTGCAAGTAGCGTATGTACGAAGCTAGTGACGTACCGCATTCAGAATTTTACAATTTTTTTTTGTTGGCGATAATTTGTTGCAAAGCTTTTCTCGTTGCACACAGCCATAAACTATTTATTTTGTTTTTCGTTAAATATTCACTATATCGAAAAATTTTTGAAAGTTGTGGATCTTTAGTTACATCTATATTTTATGCCACGTAAACGTTTGTTGCGTGAGGCGCCATTTCTGAAAAATCACTTAGTTCGATTTCTGCTCATGTAAAGTTGTTCCTGTGCTTAACTAATTAAGCACTATACCATGAAGACGTATGGGGGAGTGGATATATAGATCCACGTTTTCTTGACCTCGACACTCGCTGGAGGTGAGCGGTCAGCTTCAAGACCCGGCCGCTTTACCTCCGGGGAAAGAGCCCACCGTATCCACTGGATAGGAGGTTGGGTGGGTCCCAGAGCCGGTCTGAATATGAAAAAAAAAGAAAGAAAATTCTTGCCACCACTGGGACTCGAACTCAAACCCCTTGGTCATCCGGCCCGTAGCCAGTTGCTATACCGACTGAGATATCCCGGCTCTCGTTCTATTCATGCAAAGTAGGTATTATTTTGGATCGATACAAACCAAAATTAAACTCACTGCAGGACGTCTAGTGCAGAACTCAGTACTGAATTTAATTATAAGCCGTTCAATAGCTTCAGACTGACCATTTACATTTTCAGAATATGTACGGTTTTTCTTCTGTGTACAATCATAAGTTCATTTTTGCATTACTCCAACAAACGGCAATTGGCAAGGATGACTAACTTATATGCGCAAATGAAGAAAGCAGTCTTCTGGGATTTGGCACCGTGTATATGTGGTGTTAACCGACGTTTCGGAGGAACGTATCGCCTCCATCTTCAGGGTAGAAGAAAAAATATAAGAAATTTGCAAGNCTCTGAGGTCATGCCGTGTATGACGTTACACTCCAGCACAATCCACTAAAACATAATGTGACATAAGTACAAGATTACGCGGGAATTCAAAGTTACAAATAAATACTTCAATCTTTATAACTGATGCAAGCGGGAATTTGTCTTGAATCTGGATGCTGGAAGAAGGAAACATGCTCTTGCAAGAACGTTCAGCTTCTGCGACCTACTTTCTGTTTCAAGAAGAAAGAATTGTTTAATGTAAAAATTACACTATTTGGGTTTTCAGGAAATTGTTTCTCGAAAGGTCTGCAATATTTGGGAATTGAAGACAAATGCAAACACTAGTGTGCAGGCCAGTATGTTTAAACCTGCAGTGATTTTAACTTCAAGGTTCCTAAAGCAGGCACAGGCTGTGTATCGTCAGACACATGGTACTCACTTATGGAGGTGAGCCCTTCTTGAGGAGAAGCCAATTCTGCAGCTACTCAAGAATTTGCAAGCATTTTATGGAATCCGAAAGTTCATTACCGTGTTCACAAGAGCCCTCCACTAGTCCCTAACCTGAGCCAGATCAATCCAATCCATACCATCCCACCCTATCTTTCTAAGATTCATTTTAATATAGTTCACCCATCTACGCCTTGGTCTTACCAGTGGCCTCTTTCTTTCTGGTTTTCCCACCAATATCCTATATGCATTCTTCTTCTCCCCCATTCGTGCTACATGCCCTGCCCACCTCATCCTCCTTGATCACCCCAGTTATACTTGGAGAAGAGTACAGGTTATGAAGCTCCTCATTATGCAGTTTTGTCCATCCTCCTGTCACTTCATCCCTCTTAGGCCCAAATATTCTCCTCAATACCCTGTTCTGAAACACCCTCAGGTCAGACACATGGAAAAGCTGTAAAACAAAAAACTGCTTGTGGCTGTGTACACTGGAGCACAATCTTTGGTCATGCGACACCAAAGGAGTAACATTTCTATGTTACTCAATTTTGTTAATAAATGCTGACAACATTACCGTCATCTTTGAGCCGATTGTCTACAAAATGTGGGGGCCTCAACATCTCATAACCCTATGGGCCTTCATGGCCTGTTACAGGGATAGCTTTACTTTTACTTTACTGTAAAATATTAGGCTATTAGGCGGAATTACATAACATGGAGGCGATACGTTCCACCGAAACCTCGATTCACACAAGAGCCACACGGCGCAACATCACCAGAACACGACACTCTACATCTCTTATACATTTGAAACATTTCAATTCAGAACAACGTATGGTGTGAAACTTGGGTGACATGTACCAGTCAGTTTCTTGCTCACTTACCGAGAATGATGTACAGGACAGCAGTCTGAATGTCTGTTGTTCCATTGAAACAATACGCCATGGTATCGGTGCTACCACCCGGAATAACCCCCACTCTGAAGAAGGGTTTCGGAAGTATAGCATCAGGATCGTTGTGATCTACACCACAGTCTCTGGCTGTTCTTAGAACCAACCCATTGAATACTTCAGCGAAAGTGCCATCACCACCTATGCATGCCACACCATCTATACTATCAAAGGAACAGTTGAGAAGCGTGTCTCTAGCGTGGTTTTGTCGCTGTGTAATTATCACATTGGTCTCAATTCCTGCCAGAACAAACAGTGGTTTCACTTGCTTCTCATATATCTGCAGTCCTTTCTTCTTTCCTCCATAAGGATTCACAAACAGGAGAAGTCGCTTAGGTCTCTTCTGCAAACCTGTAACAAGAAATATATATATGCATATTTTTTCATGAGTTATTCAGCTCGAAATGCTACATTTGGAGCAAGGCTTTGTATGGGGCTGAAACTTGGACACTTAGGACAGAAGATCAGAAACACCTAGAAAGCTTCGAAATGTGGTGCTGGAGAAGGATGGAGAAGATCAGTTGGACCGATTATGTGAGAAATGAAGAAGTGTTAATTAGAGTCAGTGAGCAGAGGAATATCCTACACGAAATAAGAAAACGGAAGGCTAATTGGATTGGTCATATCTTACGCGGTAACTGCCTTCTAAAAGAAGTTATTGAAGGAAAGATAGAGGGGCGGATAGAAGTGACCAGAAGACGAGGAAGAAGACGTAAGAAGATGCTGGATGACCTTGGGGACAGAAGAGGATATTCTCATTTGAAGGAGAAAGCTCTAGATCGCATCAAGTNTTTTGGAAGAGACTGTGGACCTGTCGTCTTGACAGATTACAGATGAATGAATGAATTCAGCGATATTTTATGCTGATATTTCACAGCATCGGTTGGTAGGATAATACAGAATGTCCGGATGAAAGGTATCCAAAATAAAAAAATGTATATTTCGTAAAATATTTGTCATACACGTATCCGGTTTATGTCATCGGAAAGCAAAACTCTGAAAGTTTTTTTCATACCCGGCTTACGCGCATGCGCCACCACATTTTTGCCACCATGTTAGGAATCACCTGGACAGAGAGATGGCCCAATTGCTTGGCCTCCTAGGTCGCCAGATTTAACCCCAGTGGATTTTTTCTTGTGGGGTTATGTGAAGAAAATTGTCTACCGGGTTAAGATCAATGACCTGCAACACCTTAAAGCCCGCATAAGGGACGCTGTGGCTACGGTAACACCAAACATGCTTCAATCCTGGATATTTCTTGTGCCACCAAGGGAGCCCACATTTAAATTTATTAAGAAAGTTATATAGGCAGGAAACAAAACTTTGATAGTTTCCTGTTGTAATGGTGTAACCCATTAATGTGTATAATAAATTCTTTCTGAGATATAAAGATTTTATTTTGGATACCTTTAATTCGAACACCCTGTAGATGAGTGATGAATTGGAAAGGATACGGAAGGAAGCGGTCGTGTTTCAGTCGAGGTACTATCCCGACATTTGCCTGAATAGACTGAGGAAGACCACGAAAAACACCAGTCAGGATAGCCAATGTCCTGGTCGATATTCGAACCAAGTACCTCGAAAACAAGACTAAAGCGTTATCTATAGATCAGCCTGTTTGGTCTACGCGTATATCGATGCAGTTACCACAGAGGACACAGTCCTCAGTGTGCGGAAGAGCAGTCAACCCTCTTACTTTAGTATCCGAGATGGTCTTTCAACCTACAGCCTTCTTCAGTGAAAAAAGTAGGTATATGAGATTATCACGCTGTGTGTCGCATCCTTTCAGCGTCTGAACCAAATGTTCGATTTCCTCGAAAATTTGGTATGGACGTTATGCACCTGGAGGCCACCCAAACTCGCACTTTCTAATTCCCTGAAATCAGTAATAAAAAGATGGCAGACTCACGAACTCATGGATGGCAACAGATATTAAATAATTTTCAACCGCTGTTGTCTTTTAAGAAAGAAAACGGCACACCAACCAGGCTAAATTTTAATTTTGCTTTCAGCTTGACAAATACAAACTCCATAATTTTAGTCCGCAAGCGAACTATGCCGACCGAGTGACAGTCGCTTGTCGGCGAATTTTAGTGCCAACTTTAGCGGATGGAAGGTGTCGCGTGGTCAACGCAACGAATCCCCACGACCGTTAATTTCGGGTTTCTAGGCTATTTCCTTGAAATAGCTCTTCAATTATCATCACGAGGCTGAGTGGACCCCGTTCCAGACCCACTACTTCTCAGAAAAAATCTAGTAGGGCCGGCAATCGAACACGGACCTCAGGATCTGTAAGCAGGAATTCTGACCACTAGACCACAGAGGCGGTCTTCAGCTTGACAACGTTAACTAAAGAAACATTTGAGACATGAATATGAAATTTTGTATGACGATCCATTTTGCTAGGAGACGACTAGTAAAGACTGGGAATATCAGTGCGTGCGCAACGGTGAACTGGAGTGTATGTAAATCAGCGACAGCGCTGTATTTAAGTGTAATTAAAAAGAGTGCGTGTAACCAAACTGTTAATAAATCCAATCATCCGAACTAGAACCCGTCATTTCGTCACGCGTACCCTCCTACACGTGACAACATTCTTAAAAATTACGTACGAAATATCGTTCACGAGTGAACTACAAACGTAGGAGGAGGAGGAGGAGCAACAGCAGCAGGAGCAATATAATCTGTAACAGGCATGTCCAACGCGTCGATCGCGGGACGATTTTTGGTCGAACTCACAGGCCTATAAGGAAATTATACGTGAAAAGCACGTAAATTCACTTGTAATATGATTATATTCAGATTTTGAAGGGAAAAAACGTATTAGTCATTCCTATTCTTCTGTTCTTATGTAGCTTACGTGAAAATTGCTTTACACTTGTGTTAAGTGAACTGTGGGGAAGTCCCTACTCTATCCTTATCACGTGAACTCTTATTTCATGGCTCGTTAGCCGCGTGTGTTCTGATGTAAGAGTGGTCGACAAAACGTGTGATTCACTAGAAATGATGTGTGGAAACATAACTGAACAGCTGTTGAAAGATGTTTCCAATTGTGTTGCTTTCTCCCTCCAACTGGATGAATCTACAAACACCAGAGACAGCCCAGTTACTAGTTGCTTTTACAGCAAACATCATGTGTCGTGTTATTTTTACCAATATTTTTGCTTAAAGCGAGGTACGACGATAGGAGGGGTGGTAGATCACAGACAGTATTGACACTAAAAAGTCGATCACAACCTGTTTGAAGTTGGACATGCCTGATCTATAACATAGAGTGGCGAGCAATAAAAGAACTGTGACACAAGTACGATCTATTTTATAATCACCGAAGTGAGCTATGCGTTAAAATTTCTTTCGCTGCGGAACTGTAACATGAATTACATACATATACCATTAACAACACATGATTTATAGGACTGCTGTAGGAGGGCAGCCTTCGTGTGTTGTGACCGGCATGCGTTGTCTCGTTTATATGGTGAATATGCGTACACTCCAAATTTCTCAGAAATGCAAGGCGTTTCTGAAGCAGGATCTTCTTCCATGGTCTGACATCTGTGTGCCAGAAATCGAGTAAACGTTTTAATGAACGTGTGTCCAAAATTGCTTCGTTGTGGAATCTGATTTTTAAGTTGTGCAAGAACAAAGCCAGGAATGAATTATTATTATTATTATTATTATTATTATTATTGTAACATGTTGCGCAACGGAGAACCCCTCCCTACCCAGCAGCAACGTGGCAACTCAGGCCACAGGCGCGTGGCGGTAACGTAGCGCTCCCTCCCACCCCTCCGCGGTGACGTAACGCGCAACGCTACGTACCCGTAATCAACTTCCTACTGTGACGTGGAACGCAACAGGCACCACTGCGACTATATAAGGGAACTATACAGCAGCTACCAGTTAGTTGTAACCTGGCCATCGCCGAAGACAGTTCAGTTGTACTGTGACAGCAGCCGAGTTGTACTGTAGCAGTCGCCGAGTCGAGTTATAACGTGGCCATCGCCGAAGATAGTTCCGAGCAAGCCTACGAGTCAGAGTGAGTCAGTTGTTCCACCGCTGCGTTATCTCGAGTTTACAGATATGCCTCGACATCATGGTGAGAAGTCCAGATGTGAATCAGGTAATTCTTCAAAATATGATCATTCGAAGGACAAAAGTAACCATGGCAGAATCAAGTCAGACAGTAATATGGACAAACATTCAAAACACCATAAAAGGAGCAGATATGAATCTGACTCTAATTCAGATGACAGTACTGAGAAACAGAGGCTTAGAGATTTACAGGAAAGAGATGAATTTGCTGATCGTCTTAAAAAGAAAGATAAAGAGAAGATACGAAATGTTACTCAGCCATCAGGCCATGAGAAACGAGCTTATGAACAAGCAGCCAAACGATTTAAACAGGAAGCAGAGGGTCGTTCTAAAATCATTCCAAAGCTGCGAGTAGAATCAAGACGAAAATACTTGGAGAAGAGGAAGGAGGATAAGGTAGCAGAATTGGAGGCAGATATCATTGATGATGAATATCTGTTTCAGGAGGAAGAGCTAACTGAACGGGAGCGTAAGGAACGTGAACACAAGAAGAAATTACTTCAGTTGGCAAAGGAACATGACCAAGCACGTGAACTTGAGAAAGTTCAACGTTATCATATGCCAGAAGACCTCAAGAAGGGCCAGGCTAATGAGAAATACGTGGAAGTGGACGAGCGTGAAAAAGCACCACATTATGAGCAGCAGAAATGGGAGGAGGAGCAAATGTCATCAGCTGTGTTCCGCTTTGGCGCACGTGATAAGGAGAAAATTCATGAAAAAGGTCAAGAGTATGACCTGGTTTTGGATGATGAAATTGAATTTATTCAGGCTTTGAGGATGCCGGGCTCCAAGCCAGACCAAGAGGATGAAAATGAACCTAAACTGACAGAATCAGAAAAGAAGAAAGTCAGCCTGCAAGAAACCAGAAGAAGCTTACCCATCTTTCCTTTTAGAGATGATCTTATACAGGCAATTGAAAATCATCAGGTTTTAATCATAGAAGGGGAGACAGGCTCTGGGAAAACAACTCAGATTCCACAGTATTTGTACGAAGCTGGATTACACGTGGTGGTAAGAAGATAGGCTGTACACAGCCACGTAGAGTGGCAGCCATGAGTGTATCAGCGCGTGTTGCGCAGGAGATGGGAGTTAAGCTTGGAAATGAGGTTGGCTACAGCATCAGATTTGAGGATTGCACATCTGAGCGGACAGTTATCAAGTACATGACTGATGGAACACTACACAGGGAGTTTCTCTCAGAACCTGATCTCCAGTCATACAGTGTAATGATCATCGATGAAGCTCATGAAAGAACTCTT